TATAGGATGCCTTTTTTTGGGCCATATAAGTACTAGCTCGAAAACTTCGTAACTATTATAGCTAGATATCTTTAATTTATTTAATAGTACTTAGAGTATTTAATTTAGTATAAGATATATAAGAATTCCAAAAGTTAAATTTCTGGAACTTTTATAATTAAAAATTAGTGCTTTCCTTAGCCTAAAAAGTATTCTTTTAAGTATTATAGCCTAATTATACTAGATCTTTTAGTTACTATCAAATTACTAATTAAATTATATAGTACTCGAGCCCTATTACCTTTGTCTCGCATGTAATAATTTCTTCTTATAAATAAATAGCCTTATTAATTTCTCGAACTATAAGTAATAATTTAGATACTATCTAAAGTCGTTTCTAAGTAATAATAATAACTTAAGTTACTTTACCTAACTAGCTCTGCCTAGCTCTACTAATAGATATTATCTTACCCTATACTAAAAGGTAACTATTTTGCCTTATTTTCTGCTATATATTAGTATTTTACCTATTAAAATATTTTATTAGATTTATTTCTCTTTCTTATACGTGCCTTATATTTTTTTCTCGCCTTTAAGTAATATATAGGCTACTATATTTTACTAATATCTTTAGATATTAGATATATATAGGTACTATTACAGAGAATATTAACTATAATAATTTCTTTTAAGAATATAAGAATAGCCCTTATAAAAAATAGGTTCTATTATATATAAGATCTAATATTAGAATTATATATTTTAGAGATAAAGCAAAGTAGTACCTAGTTCTTTTCTTTATTAAAAGCTAGGCTAGAATTCTATAAATTTAATATTCTAAAAAATGAGGTTAGTTAAAGATCGAAATCCTATTATAACTACTTACTAATATTAATAGCATATCTAGATTGTCCTTAAGTTTTCCTTTAACTAGTATAGTTTAGGATATTACTAGAGAATTACTAAAGACTAAGGTTATATTTTCTAGTTTAGGAAAGGTAATAAAAAACCTAATATTTTACTTATTTACCTATAAAGTAAGGAATTACGAGTAATATATTACCCTAGTTTATACCTAATCTCGTAAAAGAGTATTTATATAATAAAACATATATAGGAGATCTTATTTATTACCCTAGTATAAATAAGTATTTATAAAACGGAAATTTTCTTTAAAAATAACGGATTATAAGTTATTACTTTCTCTTTTACTTACCTTTTCTAATATATTTTTAAGGGCTATCCTAAATACGTGAATTACTTTTAAAATAAGATATGAGTCTCTAATTATATATGAATTTATTATAAAAAACAAGTTAAGAATATAGCTAAAGCTAGTCTTACTAGAGTTAGAGAACTTGGCTCAAATAATTACTGAGTTAGAAATTAAAAAAATTAGTATATATTTCGTAATTTAGGATAAGAGCTAAATAAGCAGAAATAGAACCAGATAATAAATTATAGAATATAGTACTCTATATATATAGTCCTAAGTAATTACTTATATAAACTAGAAAACTAAGTAATAGTAATCTTTATTACTATATATAATATCTCATTTTCCTATAGGTTTGAATTATCTCGCCTATTTACTATCTATTATTATAATTATTATACTCTTAAAAAAATATACTAATTATAGCTATTTATAGCTATATAATAATACGCGGGATTATCCTATAATCTTAGTAAATGTCTACTTCCCGTTATTTACAGGTATTACTAGTATTATCTTAGTAAATACCTACCCGCTATTATTTATAGATATTACTAGTATTATCTTAATAAATGCCCACCTATTATTATTTATAGGTATTACTAGTGCCGTTTTAGTAAATGCCTACTTATTATTATTTATAGGTATTACTAGTACTATCTTAGTAAATGCTTACCCGCTATTATTCCTATATATTATTAAGGTTATAAATACTTACTCGCTATTATTTACTAGTATACCTATAGTTATCTCAGAAAAAAAAATTAATTAGGTATTACTTAAGGATCTTATTATAGCTACCTTAGTAAATATCTTATTAGTATTACTTATTATTATAACCTTTATTATCTTAGGAAATATTAACTTATTATTTATTACTATAAAATAAGTAATAGGAAAATAGGATTATAAAGGTATATTTACTAGTAAAACAGGAATTTATATTATCTTAATTTTCTTTTATACCCTTATTAAATTACTATTTATAACTCTATATACCCGTTTTCTAGTATAACTCAGAAGGCTCTATAACTAATCTAGCTCCTTATTAACTATTCTATTAAGTTATATAACCTAGTGCTATATATATATATTCTTTGGGTTATCTAAGCTATATTTATATTTATATCTAATAAATTAATAAATATATCTAAATATCTTATTATAGAAAAAATACATATTATAATACTAAATATCTATTAGTAAAGTTAATAGCCTATATATAATAAAACGAAAAATATACGCGTTTAAAAGTACTAGATAAGATTTAAATATATTATAAATAGCTTTACTTATTTATATTCGTAAAAGAAATATTAAAGTTATCCTAGTTAAACTATAGGCTTATAGTTATTATTCTCCCTATTATGGTTATTATTATTATTATTATTATTATTATAGGATTAAGTAAGGTATAGCTAATATTATTCTAATTTAGTAACTAGTAGCTATTTCTTAAACTAATTAATTAGTAAGGTATTAGAAAGTTATAAGATACTAACTCGGTATTCTTTAATATATTAGATTATTTCTTGATTTATTAGGAAGTAAATAAAGCAAGTCTAGTACTAATAGTACTATATGTACTTATTTAATATTTTAGTAAGGTAAGATAGTAATAGAATAAGGTTAAGTTAGAATTATAAGCTTTATATATTTCCCTATTTTATTAGCCTATAAATTAATATTTCTAATTAGTAGGAAGATATAATAACCCTAATATAGTAAAACTGGCGCGAAGCGCTTTTAGTTACTAGGCCATAACGTAATATACCTAGATAAAGTTTTTAATAACTCTTATTTCTTATAATAGATTTTCTATTTTATATATCTAATACTATTTCCTAGTAATTATTACTAAGTTCACCTTTATTAACCTTTACTAACCTTTATAGTTAGGAATTATCTAGTAAAAAAATAATAGAATATAAAGAGTATAAGAATAAAGGCATTAAGAGGGGCTATATTTGCACTACTTGCGAAAATAGAAGCCAGAATCCTTAAACTATTAGGTTATTTACTAATTAATATGAGGTATTTATATATATAATAAAATATTTTTCCTTTTTTCTTTAATTTTAAATATAATAACTAACTAAAATATTTATAATAGAACGATCCTATACTGCCCTCTATTATATTAATAATATTAAAATTCACTAGTCTCACTTATAATATATTATTATATAGAGATTAAAATAAATATTATGCTTTTCTTTACTTAATAAGGGAATAGTTATTAGGTATTTTACTTTATCTTATAACCTTATATATATATTAAGATAAATAGATAATATTATATAATAACCTAAAGAATTTCCCTATTTTAATAATAAACTAAATATATCTATTATTATTCTTATATTATATTTTAGTAATATTCCCTAGTTATAATAAGTATTTTGACTTTTAATATTTATTATTATAATAAACCTTAGCGATTTTTTATAACCCGAGAATTAGGGCCTTAGTAAAAGAGTATTTATAGAATAAAAGTTTCTATAGATCTTATAAACTTCCTTATATTTTAAGTTCTCTTACTTTATACTTGCCTAGTTAAGCTATATTATTAGTAACTCAAATATAAGGGAAGTCTAGAGACATAGTATCTAGTTAAGCTATTATAATCTTGGGATATCTGCCTTATAATAATATGTCTTTACTAGTAAATAGACTTTATTATAAAAATAGGCTAGGAGATTATGAATTCTACTAACCGGAGTTAGCCAAGGCAATTATATATCTATAATTACTCCTATTATATAAGAGAGCACCCCTATCTTAGTATAATTACACATCTATAATTACTACTATTATATAAGAGCCTAATCTATTAGTATTACTTAATTATACTTTCAAGAATATTCCTATCTTAGTATAATTATATATTTATAATTACCCTTATTCTTAATATACTATATGATTTTAACTTATAGACTAAAAAAACATATAGTGGGAATTACGAATATCCTATATCTAGATCTTATAGAAGATAATAAAAGCTCTCAAATTATATTAGAAAATTATAAGAAAAAAATTAATCTTATTACTAATTTCTTTTTATTTCTTAAACTAATATATTTTCTAAGGAAATATATAATATTAGCTTTCCCCTTTACTAAATCGCGTTAATAAAACATATAGGGGAACCTAAGGAAACTTCTTAAGAGAATTACTTACTAAGCTTATATTAATATTCCTAAAGCTATTATAATTATTTAGGGGCATGTATTATATTTTCCCTAAAAATAAAATGTCTCTATATAATACCCTCTTTATTATTAGTATTTCTAATTAGTTAAGGCAATATTATAAAATATTAAAGCTCATATATAATATCCAGGTCTAAACCTAATATTTTCCTTCTTCCATATTACTATATAGAAAATTAGTAAAGCTATCTTAATTATCTAGGTACTAATATATTATATTATAGCCATAAGCTACAAGTCTATCTAAGAGTAGTCCGGCTTTTTTTATCGGAAGTCTAATATTAGTATAGATAGGTATATAAGAATATAACTTCTCTAAAGTTTTTATTATTATTATTCTCTATTTTCCCTAATATCTAGCTCTTTAATTATCTTTCTAAACCTTTTACCTAGTATATATCTTTCTATTATATATATAAAGTAATTTATTTTCTATCTAAAAACATCTTATTACTATCTTATAGAAATAAATAATAATAGGATATATTAAGAATATTTCCCTACTAATTTAGCTATTCTCGGATACTTAAGCCTTAATCCTAGATTTCTTATTTCTAGGCTTTGCCCGCATATCTACTATTATCTAATAGTATCTTACTATTAACTTAAGTATCTATATTTCTCTACTTTATTTCTTTAGGTTATTTGTATTTACTTATAGGGGTATTTATAAGTACTTATTAGGATTACTTGAGGCTTATTATAGTAAGAACTTCCTTTATTCGAATAAAAGAGCCTATTTTCTAATAATAAATAGCTTTAACTATTTATCTTTAATATTATGAGAATATATATAATATACTCATACTATAGACATTTTCTTAAAGCTTTATTTAGAATACTCGCTCCTCTCTTATTACTACTAACTTAGCCTCTTTATTAAACTACTCGAGAAATAATTCTTTAAATAATAGAGATATAAATAAAAAGACTCTATATTATATATCCTAGAATAAATGCTTTTTAATATAATATAAGGGCTATTAGCTTATATTCCGGTATTAATATTAAGTAAGAGATTTTAATAGCTAAGAAAAGGTCTTTATCTCTTACTTTAGTAAATCTCTATAAATTCTTAAGGAACTACTTTCTAAGTATTATACCGAGTATATAAAGCTTATTTAGGGTAAAACTTATTTTTATAGGTACTAAGATTATATCTAGGTATAATCTAAAGTATTAGATATTAGATATATCTTAATAATTATTCTTAATAAGAATAAGAAGACTAAGCTACTAGAAAATATTAGGGACTTCCTTAAGCTAATATCCTAATAGTAGTATTCTAATTATGGAATTCCTTACTAGAAGGGTTACTTACTATATAGATTTCCTAGAACTAGGAAATCGAGTTTAAGCTTATTTATTACTAGTTATTTTAGTTTAGATATCTATATCCTTAAACTTTCTATTATTAATAAAGCTATTCTCGAAAGCCTATTTACTAAGCTTCTAAGTTACTATATTATTCTTTTAGAAGATATTAATACTATAAGCTCAAATTAAGACACTAAAACGAAGAACTCTTGCTAGATAGTAACTAGCTCTCTTTTTTAGGAAAGCAAATCTGGAATAGTATCCCTATTTACTTTCTTAAATACTATTAATAGTATAGGGTTATAAGAAGGCTAGATCTTAATTATAACTACTAATTATATTACATGCCTTAATAAAGCACTTATATAACCTAGTTATATAAATAAAAAGGTCGAGCTTAGGCTTACTAATAATATAATAATAGCTAATCTTTTCTATCTCGTCTTTAAGCCCATATAAGAAGATATTACTTTTCCCGAGAATACTTAATTAGGAGATAATATAAAGGTCTATAAAGCCATAGTAAGTTAGAGGGAAAAGGCCAAGAGAGTTAAGTAATTAGTAAAGGAATTTACTAGTAATATACTAAAGCTAAAATTTAGCCCTATAGAAATTTTCTCATTTTTTCTAGAATATAGGAAATTACTAGAAGAAGCTATTAGTAATATAGAGAAACTTATCTCGAAGCCTATTAAAGTAAAGTTAAAGCTACTAAGAATATCTAAAGATATTAAACTAGAAAATACTTTACCTAAGATAGCTTTTAAGCTAGAGTTCAAGATAGAAGTATATATTTCTAATAGATTATAGATTAAACTTTATTAAGAATTTATTTAGCTACTATTCCTCTATATTAATAATGGCTCTAATAGAGATAGTTTACTATAATCCCCTATTATCCCTACTAATATCCTTACTAGATAGCCCAGGTCTATTATATATTATTACGTAAAGTAATAACTAGGCTATAGAGATAGTAAACGTAATAGCTATAATAAAGATAGCTCTTACTTTATTCTCTTATTTCTCTTATTCTAAAACCCTACTTAGGAACCTATTACTTATACTATTTCCTTACCCTAACTATATAATAAAGTTATTCTTATAGATTATTATAAAGTTTACTTAATAGCTTATAGAAGTACTCAAGTTAGTTAATACTAAGTAAGAGCCTCTTTTTCCCGTAAAGCTATTTAGTATTAGTTACGAAGACAAATCTAAGAAACTAAAAGCCCGAGCTTTAATACTAGAGTTTAAGAAAGTTAATAAAATATACGTATACTAGAATATAGCCCGATCTTGCTACTAATATCATATAGCTAGGATAAGAAGGAATATAAGTATAAAGTCGTGGAATTATTAATACTACCTAATAAAGTAAATAAACTTAATTACTATATCTTTATTATTTATACACGTATTAGTAAGTACCCGAGCCTCTATCCTAATCTCTGCTCCTAATAGTAGTCTAGATAAAGAAATTAAGAATTAGATCTAATATATAGATATTAAATCTTTAGGCTTACGGAATATCCTCTAGAAAATTCTATAAGATATCTAGGGGATCTACCTCTATAAAGAGAAGCCTTTAGTAAGTCTCGAGCTATTCCGAGTACTTAAATACTAGAGCGTCTACTAACTAAGTACTAGGTAGAGTAAAGCCTACTTTACTATTATCTATCTAATCTAGAGAAATACTACTAAGACCCTAGTATAGCCTTTAATTATTCTACCCTAGAGTATCTGGATTTACTACTTAATTTTATTAGGATAGCTTATACTTTAATTACTAAGCGCCTTAGCCTACTTCTCAAGAAGTATTAGATCACGTATAATTTTCTATAGACGCTCTTTAAGCCAAATACTCTAGCCTATACTAAATATTTTAGTACTAGCTAGCTAAGATATATTAGGTACAAATTTAGAAAAAAAAAGAGAATAAAGAATAGGGTAAAATACTTCCATATTAAGGCTTATTATTTGGATTTTAATAAGAAAGTATTTAGGAAGATCTCAAGTAAGTATATAATTAAGAAATTCTGTAGGGCAAAATAGATTATTACTCTAGAAATATTTCCCCTCATATACTATCCCGGTAAAAAGCAAGTAAGGGCTTACCTCTCCAAATATAGTCAGAAATTTCTGTTTATAATAGATATCCACCTCTATAAGTATAAAGGCAAGGCATTCTATATCGAGAAAGAACAGGTTATTAAAACTTTTATTAAGAGCCAAGTTATAGTTAATATGGCTTATTTTCGAGAAGAGAACCTAAACTACTCTAGACCAAGTATTAAGGAATCTAATAGGGGCCTACTATTACTATTACTACCTAGCTAGGGCATTCTTAATCTTAACGAAAATAATAAAGATAATAAAGAGGGGCTATCTACTACTAAGGGTAATGAAATAGATTTATTAGAAGTAAAAGAAAACGACCTACTTATCTATAGTCTAACTATTTCTAGGTTTAGCTTAGGTAAAAGTAAATAGGATAAGTATTTAATTCTTTTCTATTATAGTAATAGCTTCCCCTTAGCTAATATTAATATAGTAAAGTTAGCTATTACTAATATTAAAGAGATTAACTAGAAATAAGCGGCGTTAGATAACCTTTATATCCCTATAAAGAAGAAAAAGGCCACGCAAGCTCTTTCTAAAGCCTATATTAAGCGGGCATTAACTAATGCCTTTAATAATATTATTAAAGGAAAAGGGTAAAGGTTTAGTATTCTTTTATAATATAGTATCTAGTCTCTGCTTATGTCGTGCTTCTGCTAACAGGTTATATTAGCGGGCTACTAGGTATAGGGAAGACCTTAATAGCCAAGTTACTCGCCAAATATCTTTATAGGGTACTTATACTAGTCTCCGCTAGCGAGCTCGGCATAATAGTAGCGGCCATTAAAGAGCGACTACCTCATATCTTCAAGTACGCTTCTTAATAAAACACGGTCCTTCTCCTAAATAAGGCAAATATATTTCTCGAGTAGCGCTCATCCCAAGATATTTATTAAAATGCTCTTATCTACGTGTTCCTATAGACCCTAGAATACTATTAAGAAATAATATTCCTTACCACTAACCAGGTATAATAGATTAATAATACTATCGCTAGTAGGATCCACTTTAAACTAAAGTATAATAAGTTAAACCTAGAGCTATAGACTAATATCTGGTAATACTTTCTGGAAAAGGCAGCCACGCCTTAGGGAGCACTAATTTATAGCCGGGATACCTTTAATAATTAGGTACGGAAGGAGCGTAATAGTTGCGAGGTAAGTACGTCCTTTACGTATTCGAGAAGTAAACTAATTAATAGTATCATTTTAGATCAAAAACCTGGTATTAATGGCTCAAGCTCTAGCTATTTAAGAGGGATGCCAGGTAACTATATCCCATCTGGAAGTAGCTATTACCGCATGCGAGGATTTCGAATACGATTTCAAGGGCGCGGGGCTAAAGGAAGCTATGAATGGTTATTTTTAGCCGGGTCCGTAAGCTCCGAATCCGCGCCGGTTTGCATATGAGCCTTCGTTCTGGTTTTCTTTATATCCTTATATCTAGTTGTACTTTGTTATATAAGGTTGTTATTAATGTCTATATATGTCTATACTAGTAATATGGGGTAGTTTCTCTGTATCCCACTCCTAGCTCCCCCCTAAAGGCTTAGTAATCGTGAAATTGTTCCTTAGGTTGTAATATCTTAGCTTCTAGAACGTTCTAGGGCGCTAAAGATCATACTTTCGTAATCTGCCAAGAACGCATTAGCCATGGAGCGCTATTAGTTTGAAGATAGGAGGCCGCTTTGTAATTATTAGATCTGTGCAATGTGTAATAAAACTATAGTCTTATTCTTAAAAGCCGGGATTTTTGGCCTCCGTACCGGGATTCTTTGTTGGCTCCCATCCAGCCTATTAGAAGCCGGCTTGGGTTAGGTTTGGGTGTGGCTAAAATTAGCCGCTGACCACTATTCCATCCACTAGTGGGGGCTCGAAATGGGCTCCGTCGTTACCGTAGCCCTCGCTAATATCACAAATCTGCCTCTGATTTTGGATTTTGCTCCAATTCTAATACCCTAGTTTAACCTTTCTTATTTCATTTTTGGCCTCTCACTTGATTAAATTTTTGGCTCACTTTAAGCGTTCTTTCGAGCTATTTTGTAATTTAATCTAGGCGCTGCCTCCTAGTTCTGGATCGTGGCTGTAAAATCATCTTCTGGCTGCTAGCGAGAACCCCCAAGTACCAACCTCCACAAACGGCATTCAACCTCTCCCACAATCGGCTTGTTTTGGATGAAGTCACTGGTCTGTAATTTCCCATCTGCCTGTTTGCTATGGGAATTCGAGCCCTAACTCACTCTTCTCTCCAAGACTAATCCAAGAATTCCTAGTAATAATTATAAGTGCTTTAGTTTCTCATTATTTCATCGATTGATGTCTATATAATGCTTGGGTCGAAGTGAGATGGGCCGGTAATAAATAACTCTCTCGGTGTTGATGCCTTTACAGTCGCATTCGAAATCGGCTTCAGTCCTGGACACTCAATGATTTTATTTCAGCCCCACATTTCCAGTAAACTAGTACTATTATGGTTAAATATAACGGGACAAAGTGGACGATATCACGGTAAAATCTGTAACGTCCCCTGCTATAAAACCACGTATTTTATAACACAGATGCTCTTACCCAAGACCCAAATTCTTCTAGAGACCCGTAGAAACCCCTCTTATCCAATCCCATGCACTCTTCGCAACTCCTTTTGCCACCTCAATGGCTTGCACAGCAACCCAATACAGCCCATAAGAGGCAGCGCCAAAGATGGCCGCACATAGAATCAAAATAAACACAGCGGTTCTAGGACTTATCTGCTCGCCATTATCGCCACTCGATCCCGAGTTGGGCCACGGATCGGGTCGAGAATATTGAGCATACCTAGAGTTGTGGGACACCAAGGTTGCTCTAGTATTCTACCCTGTCAGAGCCCCGGAGTTAGTGAAGTTTCCGTGGCTTCTGCTAGTGTCGTGCTGAGTATAGGGTGTGTTTTGGATGGTCCTGTAGGAGCCGTCCCAGTGGCGTCGGCGCTCCTCATCCTCTAGGAGATGTGATCGTGGATTCTCATTATAACGGCAGTTGGGCCGAGGGGTAGATAAGCCTGCGGCAGATTGAGGGATTAAGCAAGGCAGTCGC